GACACTATTTATAATTAAAGAACTGAGATACTTCCCTCGTGGTTCAACGCCAAACCAGTGGTGTACATTTACTCAAGTACTGTACTTAAGTACAATTTCATGCTACTGTGTACTTCTACTCCACTACAGTTCAGAGGTACATGGTGTACTTTTCCTCCACTACATGTATTTAATACCTTTAGTTACTTCACAGATGTGGATGAATGATGTGAAATATAATCAAGTGTTAAATCAGACTTTAGTTCCACCTGGAGTAAATCCTCAAGCTACCCTGCAGTATACAAAGTCATTCAAACTAGCTGCACCTTTACCAGCTTTGAGAACACTTTCATGATCAATCATTATAAAACATATCATATATATTATTCTGAAATGGACCAATCTGCACAATGACTACTTTTACTGTCGCTACTTTCACTATATTTTGATGATAATACTTTTCTACTTTTACTTGAGGAACATTTTGAATGCAGGACTTTTACTGTAATAGAGTATTCCTACACTCTGGTACTTCTACTTCTACTCAAGTACAAGATCTGAGTACTTCTACTTTCACTACAAGATCTGAGTACTTCTACTTTTACTCAAGTACATGATCTGAGTACTTCTACTTTTACTCAAGTACAAGATCTGAGTACTTCTACTTTTAACTCAAGTAAACTGAGTACTTCTACTTTTAACTCAAGTAAACTGAGTACTTCTACTTTTAACTCAAGTAAACTGAGTACTTCTACTTTTAACTCAAGTGAACTGAGTACTTCTACTTTTAACTCAAGTGAACTGAGTACTTCTACTTTTAACTCAAGTACACTGAGTACTTCTACTTTTAACTCAAGTGAACTGAGTACTTCTACTTTTAACTCAAGTAAACTGAGTACTTCTACTTTTAACTCAAGTGAACTGAGTACTTCTACTTTTAACTCAAGTAAACTGAGTACTTCTACTTTTAACTCAAGTGAACTGAGTACTTCTACACGTATAAAGAGAGCGTTATCTCTCCTTTAGACGGCTGCAGATATACTGAAGCAGTCTGTGGAGGAGCGGCTGAAACAGGAACACTTGTATTTTAGTAAACTTGGTCTTTTATTGAGTCTCTCTGTTGGAGCCCATGTGATTCTGTTCCTGATCAAGCTGTGCTTCTGTCAGCAGAGCGATCACACACTTCATCACAGCCAGAAATAACTGAATTAAAATGTTCTTCCTTCTCCTGGTAATAACTCCAGGGTCAGAGCTGCTGCTGGCCGAGCACAATTATAAATACATAAAAACACTCTGTAGTGTCTCTTAAGTATCTACCAGAGGATTGAAGACCGTCATACTAAAGCTCATGTGGACATTTTATAATAACAGTCACTACCAGAAGTTTAAAACAATGCAACTTAAAGAGGATTCTACATACAGTGAAATAATGGGAGTACACTGCATCAATAAAGCCCTCTCCTTCAAGCTCCTGGTATTCACAAAAAAAACAAAAAGGAATCACAAAAAACCTTAAATAAAGTCTCTTTCGGCTTTTATGCGTGTCCAGAAAGGTTCCCACTTATTTAACCCTGCCAAGATGTTTATTGTAAGTCATTTGTGTGTTCTTTGACACCTTCGAAAAAGTGTAAAGGTATCTGTAATGTCGCCCTGACCCTAGAAGACGTCCAATCGAACACATCACCTAACTGGGAATAAGAAGGAGAAGAAGAAGGACCTTTATTGATCCCCCGAGGGAAATTCAGTTTCCACTCAGTTTTTTATACACGCACATGCTTCCCAGGTACATACAAATACACACAGTTATATATTTGCACATACACATTGAGAGGTCAGAGCGGAGGCAGCCAGTCTAGCCGGCGCCAGGAGCAGTTGGGGGTTTGGTGCCTTGCTCAAGGGCACTTCGGCAGTGGCCCAGGAGGTGACCTGGATCCTCTCCAGTACCAGTCCACACTCTGTATTGTTTGGTCCGATCGGGACGTGAACCGGCGAACCCTTCAGTACCAAGTTCAACCCCCTACAGACTGAACCACTGCCACCCCCAGTCTCTGCATTTGACCCATCCTAGTGTTACAACAACTGTAAGAGGATGTGCTAACTCACACGGTCATCATCATGTTTCTCTTCATGATTCCTTCAGTTTGACACGCTGCACATCTGCTGGATGTAAACAGTATTGTGCCGTTACTCTGAGGGTCCGGATCTGAAACAGTTCCTCCTTTTAGCGTCTATTTCCGTCACAAGGTCAGATTCAGAAATAGCTCGCAGCCATGAAGTCACTTTCAGAGGAATTCAAAGGTCAAGCGTGGACGACACGGCTGCAAATACCACCGTGACGGCTCAGTTTTTATGAGAAAGGCCTAAAGAAGGGCAAAAAGGGAACTTCATACTGTCATTTCAACAGGGGTGGGAAGTAGTGGAGTACAAATACTTTGTTACTGTACTTAAGTACATTTTTCTGGTATCAGTAATTTACTCCACTACTTATTTTTCTGACGACTTTTTACTTTTACTTCTTACA